AGTTGTTGTTTTTTCTTTCTCGTGTTGTTATTGCATGTTGTTTTCATAGTTCTCACTTTACTCTGCATAAGTTCATGAGAGTCTTACTAATTTTCTTTACAACTGTCAATTTCATCATTTCTTATGGCATAAAAATATTCTATTATATTCACATACCACAATTTGTCTAGTTATTCACTATTAAGTAGGTACCCTTTTAGTTTCCATTTTTTCCTACTATAAAACAGCATTTCATAAATTTCTTCCTTGAGGCTTACAAAAATAATAAAGAAAAGGAAAGGAAAAGGAAATCAAGTTTCCCATCTCCTAGGGAAAGCTTAGTCCCTAAAGAAGTCCCAGAACTTGAGAGAATCTTCCCAAGGGATTAGGGATTTGGAGTTGACGGAAGATACTCTCATCACCCTTATTAAAAAAAAAAAAGCAAAAAAAAATGGTCATTGGCTTCAGGACCAGGAAGACACGTTCAAGTCCAGAGAAGTCCTGGGTGAAATGTCTATGGTTCTCATCTATATATTAGAGGTATCCAAATAGAAGTCTGGACAAAATAGCTACAGGTGACCCTTTTCATAATAGGCACACCAAATATCTCTAGGAATCTCTTTTACATGTAAGGCAATCCTGGAGGTCCAGACAAAATTTCCTCTCCAAATAGAGTTCCTAACCTACTTATCTGAGGACAAACAGGTTAACTTAGAAAACCTTCAAGGAGGTATGAGATTTCCAAAAAGGAATCAAGTATTTTTGGGTTAATAAGGTCAGCAAGTAAACCTTATCCTATGGACCTATAGTCCATAAGGAGCTCAGACAAACTCTCTAGACTCATGTCACAAATAAGCCAAGCAATCTAAGGTCAGCTTAAAAGGAAAAAGTAAAAAAAGTAAGAAGTAAAAAGGGAACTTTTATGTGCTATTATATTGTGCTCCAGGCAAACTGCTAAGCACTCATATTTTAGGATTTCAGAAATACATGCAACCAGTAGCTTCCATGTTCATAAGAATACAGTAATACAGTAGATATTAGCAATTAATCATTCAAACAAAGGTTATTACAAAGAAATTGGTTTGAATTGTATAGAAACACACTAGAAAACAGACTGCTCAATTATGTTCTAAAGCAAAAATAGAAGAAAATGCTAATTTTTCTCTAGTAGATACCTAAAGGCAAAAGTAAATTATGCAAAAAATGAAAGTCTTGGATAAAAAAAAATATCTCTAATGGGTCCTTGCAAAAAACAAAGGGCCCAGAAATGATCCTGAATGAGACCCCATTATGGAGTACCCCCTTCCAGGCCAACTTCTCCAACTCCCACTCTCACTGGGAGGCTTGATCTCCGGATGGTGGGTTACTACTAATACTCAGGACTCCAGGGGTAACCTTGAGGGACCAGGTTGTCTTCATCTTCCCAAGGCCTGGAATATAGTAGGTGTTTTAATAATTCTTATTGAACCAAATTAAGTTGAGGATATTGGAATATCTCAGGAAAATAATTTGAGTATGAAACTCTTTGTGAACCTCAGAATAGATGGAGATGTAGGAAATTGTACCAATTGTCCCCTGACCCTTGGTTATATCCTGTAACTTGCTTTGAGGTTTTGGTTTTTTACATTTGTTTGTTTTGGTGGTTGCAGTGGTCTTTTGGGGGAGGAACCGGGAGTGGAGGCAGAGAGAACAAACCCCTCAGAGTAGCATTTTATTTTTATGATTTATTTCTTCTTCTATTCTGTATATATCACATTATTGCATATCTACCCATTTATTTACATGTTCTCTCCCTCATTAGTGAGTTCTTTGAGGTGAAGACACTGGTTTTGTGGGGGAGGGGGGTTTCTTTTTTTTGTATCTCTAGTGCTTAGCATAGTTCCTGGTACATCGTAAGCATTTAACATACTCTTGTACATTGATTAATTCTAAACGTGGAGTGAAGGGGGGGGGGGAGAAGAGAAAGCTGATTCTCTAATTGAGTTATGATTAACCAGGATTTTACTGAATATACAATGTCCACTTCAGCTAAACCATTGAAAATTGCAAGAGTTTACCCACTGGCCTACAAAGATTGGTTATTTATTTTTTTAAGGATTAACTCATTTGCTTCTTATCCACATAGAGAAAGGACACAAAGAAATGGAAGACAAGCTAGACTCAGCTAGTAAGAGAAATTCTCTATTGCAAAGGGTTAGAAATCTAGTTTGCTATTTTTAAAAGAGGCCAAGGGGCACATGCTAAGACTTTAGCTTGAGGATTCACAATTTCTAGCTCTGTCACACATCCCCAGGGATACATCCACAGCTGAATGAATGGAGCCAATATCAGGTTTGAGGGTAGCACTATGGGCCTTATAAGTCAGCAGCAAATAACTGACACTTGGAGAAACAATGAGAGATCCCCTGAGCAGACATCTAATGATTGCTATGATAAGGCCTTAGACCTTCCTGCCCTCTTTGTTGGCAGGGATGTTTGCCAAAGAATCAACTCAAACACAGGGTCTGTCCCCAATCCCTCTGTTAAATCATATTTCACTTAGTACAGTTAAACAAATATTGGCCTGGCTGTAGTTTTTAACCTTCCTGAATGTGTGCCGGGAGTTTATCTATCCTTTGTTTAAAATAGCAGCATTTTTGAATTCAAGGCCATTGTTTCTCTGTGGGGACTGGACTTCCCTGCCAATCCCCACAGGTCCTTGTGAGATAACTTGGCATCTCCAAGGATTCCTATTGCACAGATGTGGAAAACAAGACAAAGGGAAGCTTTTCTTGCCTGAAAGGTGTTCCACAATGTTTAAATTACCACCCACAAAGAGAGTCACTGTTAAACCTCTTCTGGCTCTGGCACAGAATCAGAATTTTTCAAAACTAAAAGGGACGTTAAGAGATCAGACCTTTTCTGATCACCTCAGTTCTTAGCCTCCCAACCCCCCCTCAAATTCCATTGTATTTTTAGTCTGTATTCATAGTGTTTTCCCCAGTAAAATACAAGCTTCTTGAGGTGCCCTTTGGGTCCCCAGTGCCTAGCACAATAACAAGTACTTTTTTTCAGGGGGAAGAGGGGGCAGACTTCTGATTAAGGAACTCCTAGTGAGAAAACTCTCCCTGCCAATGTCAATTGGTACCTGCTTTGAAACTTACAATTTAAACAGCTGGCTAAGGCACTCTGAGGTTTAGTGATTTAGCGAAGTTCCCAAACCCAGTATGTGTCAGAGGCAAGACTCAAACCCAGGTCTTCCTAACTTTGAGAACAGCTCTTTATGCACTAAACCACAGATGCCTCTCTCCTAGTAGGTACGAAATAAATGCTTGTTGAATTAAGTCCCTCACCTTTTCCAGTAGGAAATAGGGGCTGAAGAGATTAAGTAAAGTGACTCAAGGAGGGTCACACAGACACATCAGGACTAGAACCCAGATTTCGTGACTGTTAGTGGCAGGCTATTTTTTCCCGTGCAAGACATTGCTCAAAATGATACTCAAAACACTGAAACAAAGTAAGGATTCCCTGTTACTCCTGGAAGTTTTGAAAATGTCTGCCAGTTTCAACCTCTGTGATTAAAGTCCATCCCATCACCCCTGTCATGCCTGGAAGGCTAGAAACCCTTAATAGGCCCCCTTCTAAATTTAACTTTGAGTAACAGATCTCAAGAGTCCTCCAACCGCTAGACAGTCAGGCAGACAGAACAGGCTCTGACCAGGAGTCCTGTCAGTATAAAGGGTGCATGGCTTAGTGAAAGGAGTATAGAACTTGGAGTCAGATGACCTAGTTCCAATTCTTACTGACTGCATAATCCTAAACAAATCACTTATTCCACTTTGGCCCCACTTTGTTCACCTATAAAATGGGGATAATAGCACCTATTCTGCAGGGTTATTGCAGGGATTAAAAGAGACAATACATGTAAAGCACTTGGCACACTTAAAAGTGTTATAGAAATGCTAGCTATAATTTTTATTACTAGATCTGTACACCTGTGAACTTAATCTCAGAACCTCAGTTTCCACATCTCTAAAATGGAAATAAAAGAAAAAGAGGCAGTACGATGTAATGAATGGAGTGCTGGATTGGAAGTCAGGACGGCTTGGCTTCAAATCCTATGTCTCATTCTAGCTGTAAGGTCATTTGTAAAATGGGGGCAGAGAGAGAAGAAATCATACTTTTAGTACCTACCTCACTAGATTATTGTGACATATAATGATATCATGTACATAAAGTGTTTTGCAAACTTTAAAATATTATGCAAACATCAGTTATTGATAATAAGTTTCTGTAGGGACAGGATTTCAGAAATCTTAAAGCACTATAAAAATGAGTTATTATTATACTAGTTGAATCCCCCAGTCAGGTACACAATAAATTTAATACCTCTTTCAAGGTATGGTTTCACTTTGCTGTTCACAGAAAAACAAATTGATTTTTTTTCTACTTATAAGCATAGATCTGGTCCCTGGTACATATTCCTTAGAAGAATCATAGCCCAAGAAATGATTCTGACTAGCACAGGACAGATGAAGAAAGTCTTGGTTAATGCAAATTTACAGTAATTTCACTATAGTTCTATCCAGGTCTTCCTTGGAGGATATATATGTAGATGGAAAGGGAGAGTAAGAGAGAGAGAGAAAGAATGAAAGAAAGAGAGAGAGAGAGAGAGAGAGAGAGAGAGAGAGAGAGAGAGAGAGAGAGAGAGAGAGAGAGAACAGTATGCACATAGATAAGTTTTTGGTGGGAGGAGGTAGGGGGTCAGACCAACCTATTATTTCATCAATTTGGAGAACTCTATTTACAGATGTTTTCTCTACTAATTAGGTAACTCCTCTGTAAACTTATAATATTAGGAAGCTTAGAAGCACTGAGATCTGAAATGACTTGACCACAGTCACACCACACACAATATTTGTGGGAACAAGACCTTCTGACTGTATGACTGGTCCTCTATTCACTGAGCTTGGAGGATAGATCTTGTTTCAGAAATGAGCACATCCATTTCCTTATCCCAACATGCTGAAGCCCTCTCTTACCTGCAGTGGTTCATCCCCTTTTTATCTGGTGTAGTTCATACCCAGGGAAGGAGAAAATGGTGGAGAAGAGGTTCAATAGCTAATCTTCAGCCTTCTGTGCCTTAGAAAAGAGAGGGAGAATAAAGGTTTTGGAGTAGGAAAAGCAGAATAAATCTGGTTGCATCATTCAAAGAATCCTTAAGATTTTCCCCATTTTAGTTATTGGAAATTATATCACTGTGCAGGTAACTCAGCTGAGGCTATGCAATTTGAGCCTCTTAATAAGCCAGACATACTGTTACGGAGCAAATTGGTTCATTTTGTCATGGCCAAAAACACAGGCATGCAGTGAGTATTCAATACAATGAGATCCTTAGGTCTACATGAAAATCCCAGGAGACCTCACAGCATGAAAAGCAGCAACACTTTTTGTCATTTTTTTCATTTTCTAGGAAGACTTCTTTAGTTTGACTCTTAAAAATACAAATGCTCCGGGTAAACTTGGCAAGAGGAACTAGGGAGAATACCAATTAATTACTGAATTGGAGTCAGTAGTTCAGAGGAATTAGCAGAGCGTAACCTAAAATGGAATCTGGGAAACTCCAGATGAGGCAGAGGAAAAGTAGAGAGAGAGAATGTTTAACTAATTTTCAGTTAGTGAGCATTCATCTCAAGGAAATCCCATTAGATATTTTTGATGAGATGTTGAAAGGAGGTAAACGGAAGGTGTCTCTGAAAATAGTAACAAAACTGAATGAGAGCAAATAAATATCCTCTAAATGTGTAGGTTTAAATTCTTGAATGACTGAATCAATGAAAAAGCATTTATTAAGCACTTACTATGTGTAAAGGACCTTTCTAAGCACTGAGGATACAAAGAGAAAAGCAGGACAGGGCCTGATTTCAGGGACCTCCTATTCTACAAAGGGAAGACAATGCAAAGAGGAAATTTGAGCTCAAATCAGGTGGAAAGATCCCAGGATTCTTAGGGTACAGTAGCAAAGCAGATAACACATCTTCATTAATGTTATTTCTGCTGAGAAAACCATTTCCATTTCTTACGTTCTTTGGCAGTGCCAAGGACTTGGGTGGAAGGATCTTTTTTTTTTTCCCCAGTTGCTCAGAAGTCAAGTCAATAAGCACTTAAGTACTTACTGTGTGCCAAGTATTGTGCTAAAAAGACAGTGTCTACCCTTAAGGAGTTTGCATTCTAATGGGAGAGGACAACACATAAAAAGAAGCTGAAGCAGAGAGAGGAGGGGAGGATGGCGAAGTACCATGTTGAAGCATGGTAGAGAAAGTCCAGACAATCAGAAGTAGAACCCTGAGAGTAATTGAACACATTGCTAGCCTGGGTTCTTTCCTTAAAATGGAGGTTCTGGGAAGAATTAGCCAATGAGAGGAAGAAGTTAAAGGAGCAAAGTATACTTCCAGTGTAAAAAGTCCAAAGTTAGAGTGAACTTGCAGGGTAGGAAGGCTTCTGTGTCTTTTTTAGACTACTGTAGCTTTTCCCACTCTAGCACCTAGAAATTATAACCATATCTGTGTTTTATGAAACATCGATTAAAAAAAACACCTGTTAAAGGTATATGGACATGAATTATATGTTTAGGGTAGAAAGGTTCTATCATACAGGAAAAAGCATTTTTTTGTATAAATTTACAACATACACCTCTCACAATTTGAAATGAGCCTAGGCTTTTTGGTCTCTCATCCCTGTCTGGCAGTATTTGGCCCAAAAGTATTCTCTTGGAAAGGCTGATGTGAGAATCCAGAGCCATATAAATATGAAGAATGAATTTGAACCAAAGTAAGAGACTTCAAATCTCAGAAAGTTAGCTTTGATTTGGGTTCATTTTGAGGATACAGGGTTTAAATAGTTGTTTAGCTCTCTCAGCCTTTTTTTCCCCCTCTGCCACTGGGACCAGAGATTAAGTTGAGAAAGGAACACTTGCAGATGGTAAAATGTCTCTCCTTTAAGCAGCCTGCCCATGAGGAGAGCATGAATTCCAGTAAATAAGAATGAAAGTCTCATCCACCACAGCTCAGTTCAGATTCTTGCCAAAAGTCTGCAGCTGGTGTGCCATATCCAGTCTGGGGCCAGTGATTCATTCGTACATTGAAAGGTACACTTTTACATTTAAAAAATCAGGGAGGGAACAGCTGACAAAGTAAGCCAAGACATTTTATAATTTGGTTAATGTCATCCTATTACTATATACTTTCATACTCAAAATCCTTTATTTTTAACACTGTTCTGGCAAAAGCCATGTAGCAGATAGACTTTATCCCCCTCATGAGAAGGATATAATTAAGAAGGACATATTTCAAAGCAGTTTGGCAGTCATGTGGCAATGTGTTAAGTCTCTATGCAGAATTTCACATTTGGATACACAGCATTCGATGCCAAGTAGAGTTGGTGGAAGGAGTGGGGGTATTGCCCTCCACTTCTTCCTGCCCTCTACCTACCCCTAATCTAGCAAGAATAAATGTGAGGAGACTGCTCTAGGGTTCCTAGGAAATAAAAACGTCCACTCCCATCCTCAACACTGCTGTCCAAGAATAGAATAACTATGTTACCTGGGGCACCTAGAAAAATATAGAGAGGAAACCATCATAAAACTAGCTCACCCAGCAATGGGCCTGAGGGACCCTGGGCAGACAGATGGACATCTATGTCATTACTCATATAAATATCTTTCTTTCAATATTTAAAGGATTAGTCCTGCTCTTCCAAAGTCACCTCAAATTTCTAATCAGTTCAACTACTTTAGCCTCACTTTTATTATTGGGAAAGTGAGGGGCCAAATTCTAGCCTATCTCTGAAGATCATTGGAGGGGAGGGATCCAACAAGAGGTGAAGACAATAAGACGAGAGGAGAAGAAATAAATAATTCTAAAGGACTTTGTAAATACAGGCCTAACTCAAAATATTTTAGTGGCAATTTTTGTGGTAGCAAAGAACTGGAAATAAAGTAGATGCCCATAGATTGGAGAATGGTTAATTATATTATAGTACATGAATTAGTAGAATATTGTAGTGCTTTACAAAATAATGGGTACAATGAATGCAGAGAAGCATGGAAAGACTTACATGAACTGATGCAAAATGAAATAAGCAGAGCCAAGAAAACAATATACTCGATGAAAAGAAATAGAAATGGAAAAAACAACCACCACAAAACATCTGAAAATCAATATAGAAAAATCATAAAAAAAAAAGCTTGGCCCAAAAGAAGAAATATGAGCAGACACCTCTCCCTACTTCTTTGTGAAGGTAGGGAGTTCATGGGTATGGAATATTGCTTTTATTATCAGAATTTTTCAGGGTATTGATTAGTTTTACCATTTTTTTTCTACTCGTCCTCTTTTTTTAAAACTCTTTGTTATCAGAGATAGCTTTCTAGGAGAAGGGAAAAGGAAACTATATCAATAAAGCCCATTTAAAAGTAGACAGGAAACCTCAAAGTCAGGAAGACTTGGGTTCAAGTATCATCTTAAGCACAACCTATTTGTATTTGAAAAAAGTAGCCAGATACAAGTGTAATATGGGTTGTACACAGCATGTTTAGATATCTTCTCCCTGCTTGTGGCTAAAACATATGTGACTTGGCTCTTGAGTCCTTCAGGGATGATGAATTTCCTGGTTGCTTCTGGCCATGTGGTGGCTCAGTACTGGAAGGATTTGTTACTTTGACATAATATAGGAAACCCCAGGTGGTCCCTTGGTCCTCCACCACCTCTTGAAAATGACAAGGGGCAGGGAATTGTGTCAGTTAAAAAGAAGGGCAGCTTCTGGTTCAATCTTCCTTTGGCCTTCCAGGTGGCATCAAGTAACTAAGAGCTCTAGTGCAGAATGGGGAAGGACTGGCCTACTATCACTGAAGGATCATGGCAACCATGCCCACAACTACAGTAGAGGACTCAACTAAATGAGCATAAGCCTGGCCTCTGGCTGCCTTTTCTCCTTCGTGCTTCTTCTCCCCAGTAAGTGATAGAACATCAGCCTCAAGATAAACATGTCTAGGTTTGGAGGTGACCTTGAAAACTGGAGAGGTCTAGCAATACATTGGGTCCATGAGGCCAGGGGAGTTTTTTTCATCAGAGTAGATCACAACCAGCAGCTCAATGAAGTTGAGTTATTTGGACAATGGATGAGGTAAAACGTAACCACACTAAATAGGTAGTCCCACAAAATATTTTATGTTCTGATGAAATGTAGTTATCTGCCTCCCAAGAGATTGTAATAGTAGTCATAAGTTAGATTCCTGAATCCTGTTTTAAATCATTCTGTCACTTCAGATGACTGTGTCCTTTAGCATTTCTTTTGTATGTAGGAAATAAATATCTGTCCCATACCTGAATGATATGGCATATTCAGTACCTTTTAACTCTCTCCTTTTTGAGGAAACCTAGACATGAGTCAAAATCTAAGTTTTAAATATTTGTCTCTGGGGAACTGGGATGAAGAAAGGAAGCTGAGATTCCCTACTCATTGGAGGCAAGGATCCCCCTGGACAGAATATGGTCTGGACTTTGAGCATGAGTCCAGAGTAGAGGAAACCCCTAGGGAGATAGAAGGCCCTATGTCCCAGGCCCCTGGGTTTATGAGTAGTTCTTTATTGTTAGACAAGAATAACGGAAAAAAATTAAGAGAAACAGGAAGAAGGTAGATCTCCATAATTCATATTCTCACTTAATCATATCAGAGTATGCCCTAGTAGGTCATTTACATGGAAGTGGTATAAAAAACATCTCAGACATGAAAAGTAGATAGGTCAGTTGTATATTGAGAACAGAGGATAAGAAATGAACAAGTACTGCCATGGCCAACTAAATGTCAAAAGAATCAGTGAGGTCAAAATGTTTTCATCATGCAATAAAAAATTTTTGAGTCCCCACTTCCAATGTATCAGCTTTATTTATAAATTATATACATGTACTGTTGTACTAGAAACCTTGAAGTCAGGAAGACATGGATTCAAGTGTCACCTTGAGCATGCTATTTTCTGTTGGGAAAATAAAAAGGTAGCCAGAACAACCTAGACCATCTCATCAGAACTGTTAAGAAAAATTTGAAAATGCGCATCTTTTCTTTATTAAAAAGTTGTCATCTTGACA